GCTTACTATACATCCGGATGTGCAGCCGTACATGCTAGCCACTACACCACCGAGGCAGTTGCAAACGGTAATAATCCAGCATTAGCAAAAGATAGCGCGTTCCCGGTGGAGTGAGAGGGGTGGAGGGGTGTAGTAGGTGGTCTTACTCATTTAAACTTGACCAGATGCCGTTTAGAAGGTGCAGTAAAAATATTTTTATTTTTGTATTGAAATAAAAATTTCAGAATAATTATTTTTTTTAGATGTTATTGTTATTATGTAAATAGTATATCCCCAAAAGGTTTTCAGTAAATTAAAAATGACCCTGTATATATTGACCCGGATAACTAGCAATCATCATCCCAAAATTCATGAAAATTTGTCCAGTGGTTTTCTCGTGATGCGTTCCCAGACAGACCGACAAACAGACAGACAGACAAAAATTCTAAATAAAAACTATAGAGTCGGCCTCCGTATCGATAATAATGATAATCAATAAGATTTTCCAAAAAATATTTAATGTACAGATTCGACACAGAATTTTATTATTTGTACAGATATATAACTACGAGAATATATATACATTGATAAGTTTATGCGCGGTAGAGTGATTGGCAATCGCCTACGTTACGTGCTACGAAGTTCGTAGCGGACAGTGGTTTGTTTAATTTACATTTTATATTGTTACTAGCATTACCCGCGGCTCCGCCCGCGTTTAGATGACCAAAAACCAAATTCTTAGATTTTACATATTAGTATACTCTTACAATGCAGTTTTTCTATTTTTCCTCAGAAATGAGATATTTTCCTGCGATAAAAAGTATCCTATATGTTGTAACCAGCTACTATCATACCAAATTTCATCAAAATCCCTCCAGTGGTTTTTCTGTGATGCAGTAACAGACAGACATACAGACAGACAGACAAAAATTCTAAAAACTATAGATTCGACCTCTGTATCGATAATAATGTCTATTTCAATAAGATTTTCAAAAAAATATTTAATGTACAGATTCGGCTTAGTTACAATTTTATTAAATGTATAGATTTTTATCTATATAATTAATTTCTTATCTATATAAGACTATTTACAAGCATTCGGGGTAATAATGTCATCAATCGATAGTCCCGTAGTTCACAGAATACGTATTTTGCATACATACCGACATACACCCAGACTGCGACAAATACTTAAATTGGAAATACATATAATATGTAATATGTATATATTTCTTAGATGCGGGACTCGAACCCACTATACCTAACTTAGATTCAACAATTACACCGAAGTAGTAATCATCAGTCCTCACTCGTCTTAATGCGTTACTCCATTAAACAATACATTGTCAAAATTTCCACCTTCTTGATAAACCAAACTCACTAAAGTGAGCGGTGATGAATCGGACATTGTTATACTTTTGCATTAGATACATTGTATATTTAAAGTTATTTAATACGAATTGATATTTTATTACAACTATTATTCGCCTAGTGGTCGAAACTCGAAAATAACATTTATATTGAAAACCTAAGGAAAATATATATATGTATACCTATACTATATAGCATAAGGCAGTGGTAGCCCAATGGTAACGCGCTCGCTTGGGAAACCGAGTGAAGCGAGTTCAAATCCCGGGTCTCGCACCTCTGATATTTTCATGTGCGAATCATATAACATGATTACCACTTGCCTTACGGTGAAGGAAAACATCGTGAGGAAACCTGCATGTCTGAGAGAACCTAACAAGTTTTCTTTCGAAAGACATGTGAAGACCGCCGACCCGCACTTGGCTGCGTGGTTAACTATAGCCTGACTCCCCTCGTACTGAAGGGAGGCCCGTGCCCAGCAGTGGGATGTTAAAAAAAGGGCTGAATACATACCTATATTTTGCTGAAGTATGTGTGATTAGAATACTTTCTTAGATTTACGAGAATATTTCACATTTTAAATAAAACTATCTTTTCGGATTTTATATAAACCTATTTTATCAATCATGGTCACAGGAGAGTTTCTCCCGTGGCATTCTTCTTCTTCCCGTAACGTGCGTTCACCTTGTCGTGGTGGGGGGGGGGGGGGCTCAGTAGTGCCCGGCAACCCAACCGGGCGCGAAGCCAAGAAACGCACAGGGAGGTGGCCCACTTCGGTGGGCGGTGGGAGGTGGCCCTCTTCGGAGGGCGGTGTACCATGCGGGTTGCTCCTGGTACTTCTCTGATAGCAGAGTGGACCTTGGAGCAACCCCGTGGTTGTTGTGGTCTGCTTCGGCAGACCTGCCGTCGGGGCGTCGTAGTTGAATGCGTAAGCGATCCTGCGACGCCCCATTAAGATGGGAGAAGGCTTTGTTGGGTTTTAGTGGGTAGTACTGGCTTTGCCGGTGAGTCCCACACCTCGTGCGTAAAAGCATTTCCCAACGTTAAAAAAAAAGGTAAAACATTCGTCGGAAACCAAAAATCCAAATAAATCCGCGAAAAAATTTGATAAGATTTGTTGATTGTATTTTACTTTTGCCTAGTTATAAATAGATAGTATTTAACGATTTTATCATAATAAACTTCTTGAACATCTATCTAATACTGATGACTCAGTATTTTTATAAGCAAAAGCAAAAATCGATGGATAATCATATAATTAATCATTATTATAATTATCAAGTAAATTACAGATTGAAGAAATAGATTACATAATCCTGAAATGTATTATTATAAGTAACTGCCAATCCTCCTTAGAATTCAGATGTTAAGTAATATACATACAGATTCAAACATGAATGTATAATTATAATATATATATATATATATATATATATATATATATATATATATATATATATATTATATATATATATATATATATATATATATATATTATATATAATTTAAAAAAAAATGGGTGCGTTTAACCTTTACGCGTGGTTGAAGTAAAACTTCTTTGGCAAATATCGCAATTAAATTAAAACAAATCAATAATTAAATAAGCCATATTAAGGATATTACAATCACATATTTATAGAACTAGCATTGCCCGCGGCTCCGCCCGCGTTCAGATGACCAAAAATGAAATTTTTAGGTATTACATATTACTATACTCTTACATTGCAGTTATTGTATTTTTTCTCAAAAATGAGATATTTTCCCGCGGTAAAAAGTATCCTATATATTGACCTGGACAACCAGCTATCACCATACCAAATATCATTAAAATCCCTCCAGTGGTTTTTCTGTGATGCGGTAACAGACAGACAGACAAAAATTCTAAAAACTATAGATTCGGCCTCTGTATCGATAATAATGCCTATTTTAATAAGATTTTTCAAAAATATTTAATGTACAGATTCGGCTTAGTTACAATTTTTATTATATGTATAGATATCATTTATACAGAAAAAATATATTATATATTTGTCAGACAATAACAAAGGTTACCATGACAACAATTAGTTATAATAATTTTTAATTAATCTATGCACATTCATCCCAGAGTAATAAATATTAATTTTGACAGTAATAAGTTTAGTTTTTGTTTTACCAAGTTTGAAAGTTATTTTACTTTTTATTTAACATATATTACATAAAATATTATACAGTATAATTTTTCACTTCCTGTGTAATATATTCTATCTCATTCTCTCGCCGGCTTAATCCTATATATTTATGTGTTTGTCTCTTTTTCGTGTCGCATTTCCGTTTCATCGAGTTTCAAATCACAACGATTCTAAAAAAGTTTCACTTCAAAATTACTAAAATATTCAAGAATTTCGTGTAGAGTAATTGACCAGAAAGCATACATATCGCCACGGAAAGCATGTTAAATGTTTTTAATTTATTATTTAATACATTTTATTCTACAAATCTGTGTTATTTAAGGTACGTATATAAGTGGTAGTGCAGGAATAAAAATATTTAAACACTTTGAATTCGAACGTGCATAGAGTCCCAAGCGACTCGTCGCGACACCTGCTTATACAAAAAAAGTAATCTCCACAGTATCCATGAAGCAATCGAACTAAAACACCCGTGTTTTATTGTGATTTTAGCCTGCTTCACTTAGTTTCCCAAGCGAGCGTATTTCCACCGGGCTACCACTATTACAGAGAGAAACACAGTTACAGGAAAAGAGACAAATGCTATGCACAATCGACAACTTTTTGTGCTTTCCCAGACAGGATGGTGTAAAACCACCAGCTTCCAAACTTCGATTTGTTTCTGAGTGTCATAACAGAAATAACTCTCTCTCATTACCTGCAACCGTACAAAGTAGTCATGAAATATTATAGCAATGTACAGAACATAAATAAGGAAATATTTATTTTTTATTTAATTATAAAGAGGAAAATCATGGAAGTATAATAATTATTGACTTGCATTTACAAAGTAGATGGTTCATAATAACACTAATAAATAATTTATTGATTTAACATTGTTTTAATGGAATTAGTAAGTTAACCGCTAAAACATTCCGTCGCAAAATTATAAATTCTCAAAATTATATTATGAAAAAATGAAATCTGCATTTTTATAGTCTTCCTGCTATTGTGGTCGTCTATCTATGCATACAAATAAATTATTTTTTACCTCGATAGACTAGCATTTGTGCATATGCAGATCCAAAGGTCCTGGGTTTGGGACCCAGGTCTGAATTGAGAAATTGGCAGTATAACACTCCCGTGGCGAGACTTAGCTCGTGAAGCCGTTGGGGCTGCGCTTATCTCTCTCTTCGAAAGGAACAACGTGTGCACTTGTGTTTGTGCTTCACTTTTGTACTCTAACATCTCTTGGATAGTTGGCTAATGTCAGTGAGATTTGCCGCCAAATAATCTAAACCTATAGAACTGAATTTTTTAATGCATACTATAGTGACATAGGTATCGTTTAAAAATATTTTTCAGACATTCAACTCCAAAAAGAATAAAAAGAAGTTGAAAGTTAAGAATATTTTCGGACGCCAAATTAAAAAAGGCAGCCATTCGATGCAAGCCAATAGTTGACATAAATATTTTTCTTGACCATATCAAAATTTGTTACAGAGTTCGAGAGAGACGGCACTGTACATCCTGGACTGTGTGTTCTCAGTGACGGTGGTGGGCTCCTTAGTAGTGTTCGTGTGGCGCGGCTCTTGGGCTCTGCTGGATATCTTTCTATATCCCGATGACCTGGTCAAGTCGTGCTGGACGTCTCTGGTAAGTTTCAGCCTTATTAACAAATTTAACTATAAGAATAATCAAGGCAATTATCTTTTTAATATCTTCAAAGCGTGCCAGTTGAGCACACACTTATGTCACATAGAATGGAGAAGACACGAAAGAGATTAGTCGGTAAAATAAGATCATTAAAAGAACTATAAGAATAACTACTGAATTTCAAGTATTAGAGACGTCAGCATTTATATAAATAATATCCTAAAAAATATGAATATATGAAATGAAAATCAAAGTCGACCTGTCGACGTTGCCGATAAAAAAAAAATTAAATTATCTTGTGCCATCTTCCATATCAGTTTCTTAAATCTATACAGATACAGTATACCACATTTTAAGAAAAAAAAATCATACCTACACTTAAAAAAAACTACATTTCTTATTTACAACTGAACAAAGAATAGTCCAAACTAATAATTTTATATTATAGAAACCGATCTTAGCTGCCATATGAAAATTTTATATTTTTGGACTCATTCAAGCGAGTTGAACAGAGTATCAAAGCAAACTTAAACTACAACGACGTATCAAAGCAAACTTAAGCTATGTTCCGCGCTGAATTTATACTAGGGTTATTTACTAGGGGCACTCGGGGCTAGTGCCCAGGGCGGCAAATTTTTAGGGGCGGCAAAAATCCGGAATCCGGAAGGTGAGAAAAAAAATCTCGTCGCGTTATCGAATATGCTTTTTTTATTTTCCAAAAAATGATCAATTTAAAAAAAATATGAGTACATTTTTCGTACTTGAAACCATTTATAAATTATATCTTTGCATTTTTCCAAAAAATAAGAAGTAAAAAAAAATTACTTTCAACATTTTATTCAAAATTTCGATAATAGGGCGGCATTTTTTTACTACACGTATATTTTTTTATTATGCCCAAGGGCGGCGCTAAGGTTAAATCTGGAACTGGCTATGTTAAAAAACTTCAGTTCTCTTTGATGAAATTATTAAAACTTTTCTAAATCTCTCGGAATATGCAAAACCGATGTTATTTTTCCGCATATGGGTCATACGTCGTCATTGAGTCAGTGACCACTTACGTCGCACAATTGGTTCTTCCTCCCGACTCCCCGATGTACTACGAGCGTTATTGCTTTGTAACTTGAATATATAAGGTCAATACTAATTTTATAGATACACAATACAATAATTTTAATGGCCAAAATTGAGACGGAATAAAGTATTTGTGGTTGGAAGATATAATAGTTGGCAATTTAGGTTTTAGATGTAGAGAATTGATCTGGCTGTTTATCTGTTTGTTCGCCCTTTTCTTAAGAACGTATACTAGTATCGTTCCACTGCTGGGCATAAGTATTTCATTAATGTGAAAATATAAGTTACCATATATATATAATATATTAACATGGACTATCATGCTTTCGAAAACTAGCTAGATTGTCTCATACATGCAGGTTTTCTTACGATGTTTTTTCTTAGCAATATTAGCAAGTGGTAGCCGTTGTAAACAGATTTGTCTATGTAAATTTCTGAGGAGCAGGCTTGAACCTACTTCGCATATGTAGTTTACAAAGCTAGCGCGCTACTAATGGCCCACTAGTGTTTTTTTATACGGGGATCAAGTATAATAACTCTGTCCTATATAAAATTGACCGAACAAATGTAAGCGTCTTTGCAATCAGTAGTAGTAGAAACTATGAGTTTCCTATATAGAATCTTTTTAATATACAATTGGTTGTGTGCAAAAATTACTGGCTAGCAAACTGTTGCACAAATAAAAATTATAATAATAATAATAATAATAATAATAATAAGTTCTTTATTTCCAAAAGGTAGTAAGTACATCCAGATATTTGCTTAACACTAACTAAATCTAATTTGGTACATACAAATTATAATACAAATATCTACCTGTATAAATTAACCATTAAACGACATTCCTAAAATATAACAATAATAATTTATAATCAATGGGAATTATCTACAATTATTGATTGGAATTTTTATCTTGATTTAAAATTTTGATCACTATCATCACGTCGCGGCGACATGTGTATGTGTCTCGTGGCTCAATCATTCGATCTATGTACGTACGAGACAGATATTTTATTGCCTACTAAGTTGCTACTACAGGTGGCATGTGACTGCGCTTGTTTCTTATTTTTATTTATCCCGTCCTCTAAATATTTATTATCTATATAAATAAAAATTATAAATTATATATAATTATATCCTATATCTTTAAACGAGCAATTCTTGTATATATGTAAATATATATATAATCTGAATTTCGGAAACGGCTCCAACAATTTTCATGAAATTTAGTATACAGGGGGTTTCGGGGGCGATAAATCGATCTAGATTAGTCTTATGTCGCATACAAAGTTTTTACTTTTTTTTAATATTTATTCAAGTTTTTAGTTTAAAAAAAAAAACAGAAAATTGTACTTTAGCCCAAAAACTCCGAGCGAAGATCGGTAGCCCAGGTACTTATAATAAATTACAAAGCATTAATACATATATATATATATATATTATAATCTATGCTTTGTATGAGAGCGTAGAAACTGGAAGACCAATTGAACTATTCAATTAAAAAAAAGTTTTGCCGTTTTGTTATACTAATACTAACGACTTACCCTTACTTCGCTCGAATACATATACCTACATAACAGTAGTCTATGTCCATACTCCAGCTCAATCTGTGTGTGTTCTAAATAAATTTTAATCCGATCAACCGTTTCAGAGTGAAAGTATAACAAACATGCAGACAAATATAAGCTTCCGCATATATACGCCAATTGTAAACATAAAAAGGGACACACGAACAATATCGCCGTCACCAATTTATATATATATTATAGTTCGTTACAAAAACTTCTTTTATTGACAATGGCAAAAAAACAACGCAGTTAAAACGATTTTAAATTATGATATTAGATTAAGTTACTAAGAGTTCTAGATAGAAATCTAAAAATAGCGCAATATTATCTCATTGAACATTTAGGATCTGCGTTAACAGGGTAAATACTCTAGTTATGCCTTAATAAGTCGTTTTATTTCTGTCCGTCCGTTCATCCCACTTAGCTCAATGTCACAGTTTGATATTGAACGTGAAACATACATATTATACTAAGCCTATGATACTCCAAGACCATCTATAGAAAAATATAACGTAGATCTATTGATATGATGCTGCATTAAAGGCGGACTAACCAACCAACTAAAAATACTTGTAAGACCTAGGAAATAAATAAAATACAAAATATAAATTAAATAAATTATTATAATCTTTATTAAATTAATTATACTTTATGCATATGACATTAATTAATTTGTCTTATGCAGAGCAGAGATGAGAGCACCTTTGATGTGACGTGGTGCTTAATTACAAGTTTTTCTTGGTTTCTCAAAAATTTACAAGAAAAGAAACCATATTGAAATCACAAATATGCTTAGTTATATTATATAAACAAATATATACTTAATTATTACTGATGATGATGATGATGATGCAATTATTACTATACAAGTTATGTCCGCGTGGAATTGGGACAAGAATGCTAGCTGCATTCTATTACTGAGGCTTACTATACAGAAACACTCAATAACTAAACTTGGCCCGACCCGGGACTCGAACCCAGGACCTCCGGGTGTGCAGCCGTACATGCTAGCCACTACACCACCGAACCAGTTTTTTTTTTTTGATGACAATACATACATATCTACTCACCATTTTTTTGTGGCTGTTTGCAGCCATATTTTTAACTCATGGGACAAAAATGGGGAAGAAATTATAAACATAAATATTTTTACAACAAACTTTTCCTTAAAAGTACTAAAGCGGAAATAAATTATTGTTAGTTAGATTTTATTTGTTTATTGGTTACCAAAAAGCATGTCGCCTAAAATGATCATATATATGTATATTTAATGACTAATAATTACCTCATTGTATTCAGTCCTTTTTAGTGTCCCAATGCTGGGCACGAGCCTCCCTTCAGCACGAGGGGGATCAGGTCATAGCCCACCACGCTGGCCAAATGCGGGTTGGCGGACTTCACATGTCTTTTGAAAACTTGCTAGGTTCTCTCAGACATGCAGGTTTCCTCACGATGTTTTCCTTCACCGTTATGTTGAAATGATTCGCACATGAAAATATCAGAGGTGCGAGACCCGGGATTTGAACCCGCTTCACTCGGTTTCCCAAGCGAGTGCGTTACCACTGGGCTACGACTGCCTCATTACAAAGTATATATTCTTATTTTTTTCCATAAGTTATTTTGATATCTTACATTGTTCAGTTAATATTTATTTATTATTATTTTCCTTAACTCTACACTGTAATGTTTCTTCGTTGTTATGAATCATTAACAAACAATTTAGTATCTGCTCGATTTAACGTGTTGCAATTATCAATGGAATATAATAATAGAATTTATCAGCTTACATTTACAATGATATTTGCTATACATTTTACGTGAATACAGTTCAAAGTTGTGACACAGCTTTATATTAGGGATGCCATTTAACAAAAAATTTCTTACAATATATTATTGATTTTTATTTATTTTAAAATTAAACTACCTCAGCAACAACTATATAAGTAATTTATATGGGTGTTGGTACATCACTAAAATCCAAGCAATTGTGGAAAAAGAATCTTTTTGGGTGCATTAGCTAATCTACTTGTAATAAATCTATATAGATAAATAAAATTTAAGTGTCTGTTTGTAATGTCAAAATAACAGCTTTTTATTAAGTGCATATGACATTATATACGATACCTAACAATAAGAAAAAACAATTTTTAATATTTTTGTCTATCTGTCTCTCTCTTCCAGCTAATCTCCGAAACGGCTTGACTGATTTTGACAGGACTTTCACTGGCAGATAGCTGATGTTAGTTGTTATAAGGAGTAACTTAGGCTTAGATTTTTTATAGTTTTGGCGCGAGCGAAGCCGCGGGTTCTGTTAGTAATATCTAAAAATTGGAGAATCAGTGCAAAACGTGGAGATATCCTAATTAATATTGCAGCATGGTTCAGTGAACTGTTTGTTTACGATAGTAGACCCGATAGCATTATTTATGTGACTGGCCCGTGGCCGTGGAAATTGTTACGGAAATAACATATTGAGGTCACTTTTGTTTGAAGATGCTACTATTGATTATTTTCGTATTATTTAGACGATTTTGATAATAAAAAAGTCCCGACGTTATTTGTTATTGTATACAAAATATTATGTATTTATTACGCGAAATCAGTATGAAGATGTAAGATTAGATATGTATTAAAGCTATAACTATTCAAAATTGGCTGATAATATCGTCTACGTTCTGATTATGATCTGACTAAGCAATCGATTGATAAAAATGATACTGTGTGTACGTTTGTATGGAGATTACATATATACAAATAACCGCAACACCTACAACACTCAGTAACTTCGACTTGGATAATATATTTTCTTAAATATTTAATTACTATTAATAATATAGTATATTACTATATTTTGTAATATTTCAAACTATTCTTTTTTTAGTAATTAATAATTATTATTATAGTACCGTATATAATTTTATATGCATTTACTAAAACGCTGTTATTTTGACATTACAAACAGACACTTCAATTTTATTTATCTGTATAGATGTCTCGTATAGTTATATTATTATCTAATATATAAAAATCTCGTGTCACGGTGTTTGTGGCCTACTTTCATATTTTCAACCGACTTCAAAAAGGAGGAGGTTCTCAATTCGACTGTATGTTTTTTTTTATGTTTGTTACCTCAGAACTCCGTCATTTATTAACAGATTTGGACAATTTTTGTTTCGTTTGAAAGGGTATACTTCCAGATTGGTCCCATTTTAATTAAAAAAAAAATACCACCCCTAAGGGTGGAAAAACAACTAATTATGAATTTAACCTACTTCTAATTGTCATATTGACTTGAAACTTTGCAAGTATTTCTATTTCCGTTGATAGTACAGTGGTTCGGTGTTGTTGACCTGATCTGATGGCAAGGCCAGAAGGTGGATAGGTGGAACTCTTCAACGGCTAAAGTAGATACTTTGAGTTTGGGCTTATTTTGTTTGATTTGACAAGCCTAACACGTTAGAATCCTTACTTTGCTACTACTGTCTACACTAAAAAGGGAAAAATAAAAACTTTTTAACAAAAAAATAAAAACCGACTTCAAATAAAAGCCCTAAAAAGTAAAAAATAACTGATTGGTAGTTTTCATTTACTATACATACCTAATCAAATATTTTCGAAGTCGGTGTGCTTTGGCTAAGTAATTAAAGTCTACCTATTAAATACATACCTAATCAAATATTTTCGAAATCGGTGTGCTTTGCTTTGTATGGGCTGGCATCGATTTCGAAAATATTTGATTAGGTATGTATAGTAAATGAAAACTACCAATCAGTTATTTTTTACTTTTTAATGCTTTTGTTTGAAGTCGGTTTTTATTTCTTTGTTAAAAAGTTTTTATTTTTTGTATATTAGATAGGTATGAGAATAGGTTCTAAAGTTTTAAATAAAGCTATCTTTTCGGATTTTTTCACGGATTTATTTGGATTTTTGGTTCCCAACGTTTCGAATGCTTTACAACAATCCTACATCATTACAATCTATACATATAATAAAATTCTAACTAAGTCAAATCTGTACATTAAATATTTTTTAGAAAATCTTATTGAAATAGACATTATTATCGATACAGAGGCCGAATCTATAGTTTTTAGAATTTTTATCTGTCTGTCTGTCTGTCTGTTACCGCATCACAGAAAAACTACTGGACGGATTTTGGTGAAATTTAGTATGGTCATACCTGATTATCCGGGTCAACATATAAGATACTTTTTACCGCAGAAAAATATCTCATTTCTGAGAAAAAATACAAAAACTGGTTAGAACAAAACAACGATGATACTATATAGATTTTAGCAAGTTAACTTACTAAATATGTCAAAAACTATTAAAAATAGCTAATCTTGAAAAAGTATATCAATAGCACTATTTTATTCATTAAAAAAAATATTTTAATGAATATTTATTTTTGTATTATTTAGATATTTGTCAATAGATGTCGCCATGTGTCTTTAAAATACGTAGTTTTAATTCAAAAAAAATGGATGTACTAATTCGACCTTTCTATGATCTTATTAGAATTACTACTAAATTATCCGCGGCCTCGCTCGTGTTCAAATTATCAAAAAACATCTTTTTGGCTTTATAAATTAGTTACATCTATAGATACATTAAAATTTAATGAAGCAGTATCTGTGCTTTAAATATTTTTTGGAAAATTTTATTGATATACACATTATTATCGCTAACAGAGGCCGAACCTATAGTTTCAAGAATTTTTCTTTGTCTGTCTGTCTGTGACCGCATCACAGAAAAATCACTGGAGGGACTCTGAAGAAATTTGGTATAGTAATAGCTGGTTATCCGGGTCAACTAATACAATAATACGAGTTTACTAATATATAAAACCTAAGAATTTGGCTTTGGTCATATGAACGTGGGCGGACCCGCGGGCAATGCTAGTTTCATTATATGTGTAGATGAATTGTAGGACTTATGACAATAACTTCTACGCAATAAGTTATATGCTATAAATATCTGGTCGTTTCCACTGTCTCGACTCACAGCATCTATAATGAGATGTTTGCCAACACCGCCGTAGCAGTGATCGAGGCTTAAGGTATTAGAGGACTTAGCGCGACTTAGCCGAGCGTCTCCAAACACAGATAAGGAAGTGCACGTTGACTCAGGTATCAGCGCAGGCGCCGGAGCTCGTTTATTTTTGCAAGCGCTGTAATAAAAATCTTAACTGAACAAATATTACATATATTTATCTGTTTGCTTATAAAATAATTTATACAAAAATAGTAAATGGAATTTTTTTGTTCTCGGTATTTAGGTTTTATTATTTATGTATATTATTTAATCGCGATTATTTCGGTATACGACAATAGCGAGGTATACTGCAGCTCTGTAATACTGATTGAAATATTGGCTGCCAACCAACACTCGTTTGTATTTTTTGATATTATTATCTATACATCTATACGTACAGATAAATAAAATTCAGTGTCTCTTTGTAATGTTAAAATAACAGCGTTTCACTAAATGCATATGAAATTATATGGTACTTATAAGAAAAACATATTTTTTTATATTTTTGTCTGCCTGTCTGTCTGTGTGTTTGTTCCGGATAATCTCTGAAACGGCTGGACTGATTTTAACGGGACTTTCACTGGAAGATAGCTGATGTTATAGAGAGTACCGCTTAAAAAAATTAAAACGTGCCTAGCGGCTAGTATATAAATAAATCTGAACTTTATATACTATCTATAGTTTTCCTCATCAATTAACCATCGTGCTAATATAAGCAAAAAAGAGAAGGAAATAGAAAAATGACAACTCACTCCCTTCACTAACAACTTAAAGTAAATAAGACGTAAAATTAAACATGTTTAATAATTTCAACAGGTCGTGGGATACGTATTAGTGGTGGTAACATTCGGAGCCCAAGCGCCTATGAGGTGGGCGGTCGCCAAGCTGCAGGGAGCGCCGCGTCTGCTGGTGGCCGACGTGTACCACCTGGTGTCTTTCATCGCGACTGTCAATGTATGGAGAGGCATTTGGGGCTTATTGGACATATACTTTTTCCCTGGTAATTATTACTATTAAAGTAAATCTATAATTATTATATTCCATAGTCTCCTTAGTCACTTTAACACTAAATATTGACTCTAAAATCGATATTTACAATATATTTTTTTTGAAAACGAATGGTTTATTCTGATCAATTCTCATCAATATATTTTTATATCTAAGTATATTTATTTGTAAATTTTTAGTATTCTATTAGCAATAGCGACAGTAGGTAGAATTTTATCTTATCTAACAATAGAGATGATGTGAAGATTAAACGATTACAAGTTATTTATTTTTGATATCTTGGATTTACATATTTTCTTATACGCTACATGAGACAAGAAAATTAAGCGTACTGCTGGCTCTTGAAAATGATCGACATTTAGCTGATTGTAAACATTAACCAGACTAAGATAAAAGTAGATATTTATTTATTTATTTATTTATTTAGGATCGGCAACAGAAAATACATTATTACATGCCAATCTTTATATATATAATTCTTCTGTGAGTGTGTATGTCACTGAACTTCTCTCAAACGACTGGACCGATTTTGATGAAATTTTTTGTGTGTGTTCAAGGGGATCTGGGAATGGTTTAGATTCACAATTTGAATAATAATTTTCAACAAAAAAATTATTAAAAAAAAGTTTGAAATTTTCAAATTAAAGACGTGTAGACAGGACAACGTCTGTCGGGTCCGCTAGTATAATATACAAATGCTATAATTATAATGATTAAATGTTTTTCCAATTACAGACAATCACAACGTGCGCAATAATAAAAAGAAGAGTTAAAATAAAATTATGATTAAATTTAGTTATTAGTTAACAAAATAATGATAATTGTTGTAAATTAAATTATTTTAAATGTCACATAATAATTAATCAATAAAATAAAATTTGATGAAATACAATTAATAACAAAAATTTCATGAATTTACTTATTTTATTTTTAAATTTATGATATATCATATTATATGATTGAAATATTTATCTAAGTAATGAACAAACTATGCTGAAACCATAATCTTATTATAATTATAATTTTTAATTAAAACATGAAAATTTTCAATATTTCATATTGCTTACAGATTCACCAAAGTTAAGCAACTGGTGTTCACATCTCGTCAGCTTAGCTCTACTAATAGTGCTTAACTGTTCGAACTCAATCCTAGTGAGAGGCGTCTACATAGACGCGGAGGAGCCTGCAGGGGACTGCGTGGTATTCCCCTGCCACTATCTAAGATTATTCTTCCATAAAGAAAGAATTAAGAAAAGGCACAAACGCGCCAACGCTCCGGTTAAAACAGCAGAAGAAGCAAGCGTACCTTTACAAATACCTGAAGAAAAGGTTTAGCCGAGCCAGTATTTGAGTTTTATGTATATAATTTTAATTTCAACTTTCATAAACTGGGTGTTTTAAAAAAAAAAACATTTTTGTTTATGAAATTCTAACTGGAATATATCTAAAAATATGTCCAAAGTTCGTTTAAAACGTTTATGTTCAAATGAAACTGAACAAAAGTTTATTATATCACAATATATCTATTATATTACGAATTTTGTATTAAAAATACAGTAATTGAATTATAAAACTGGTGATGCAATTAAAAACATTCCAGCTATGTACAGTGTAGTGTAATGAAGTAAAAATAGTGTTACTTAGTCATATATTTTGTAGTGTAGTATAGTGTAGTGCAGTACAGTATAATTATTTTGTCTGAGTGAATATATATACTTAGTGATAGTGTAACGTTGCCAGTGAATTTTGTTGTGCAGTCTGTTGTTAGCACATAGCTATTTATGTTTAGTCGGATTTATGCAATAAAGTTCCATTTTTACATATGTACATTGTACATATATAAATATTAAATACATATATAAGTTATAAATTAACTGAAGTATATTTCTTTTCCATATAAGTAGAACAAATATTCTGTTTTCTACACGTGACGTGAATATTTAGCATTCGTTTATTCTTGACAAAAAATATATATATATATACAGTTCGTCTGTATATATATTATATATAATATATATATAATATATATACAGACGAACATAGAACCTCCTCCTTTTCGGAAGTCGGTTAATAAAATTAATTATAGTAAAATATGTACATTACTGTACACCTCTTGATCGATACATGGTAATGACTTGAGACTCTTTCTACGCCACGCCCAATTTTAATATAATCAAAATGACCCTTTCGATTTATCAGTAATTTTATTTTATTTTTATTTATTTTAGGGAAACAAACAGTATTACAGAAAATACAACATAAAATAAAAAATACACACATTTACCAAATAAGTTAACACAAATAAGTAGCGCATAATTAGAGTAGAAAAAATTAGGCTAAATTAAGCTAAAAGTTGACACATACATATATACATATAAATCCATACTAATATTATAAATGTGAATGTATGTTTGTTTGTTTGTTGATGAGATAGGCTACTTTTTACCGCGGGAAATTATCTAATTCCCACGGAAAAGCACGTTATAATACAATCCAAAAAAATTGGATGATCAGAATTACTTGAAACTCGGTATTATTGCTCTTCAATAAAATGAAATAAATACGTGTTTCAACATTTTTTGAAATTCATCATAAAAGGGGGTAAAATTGGGGATGAAAGTTTGTATGAATACTATTTACCTTTATAGATATTTTATTGTAGCTTTAGCGCAAGCGAAGATTCAATAATAGAGTTAAAGGACTTACGAGCTCTATCCCTGTCATTATCGTCTAATTGTTCATAATAAATTAATAATCAATATGTTCCTCAATTTTTACGATTATATTATATCATAATAAAAGTTTAATTTAAAACTTAAACGAAACAAATATTTATACGAAAGGGTTAGGATTTTTGTGGTATTGCCGAAGCCGCCATTTTTATTTTTTGTTCATATTTACAGGAAATTGATTTTTTTAAGTAAATAAAAAATATCGGTAAAGTGTCAAATTTTCGAGATGTTTGAATATTAAATTCGTCACGTGACAACTATACTAATTATTAAAAAAAAACCAAACAATAATATTAAAAAAAAATAGAACGGCGACGCATAATAATGGCAGCTCTCACAGTGCTAAAACCTTTCTACTAAATATTGTATCAGTTAAATCTATTATTGAAATGTTCAAACTAATACATATCTCAAGTCATCTCAAAGCTTTTTGGAAAATTGTATTTTTGTTGCATAACTTCATCCTTATTTTAATATACATAAGTTAAGTAATAATATTGTTCAAAAAATAACATTGCTATCAATTTGACATCTTGATATTATTGTTAATTTTTTAGATTAGTGTCAATTAATGAAACTTATATTTATATCTTTATGTTACAGTCAAAACTATTTTTTAGTCAAAAATAGTTTTGACTGTAACTTAAATATTTAAATAAAACAAATTTCGTAATTTATTCGTATGGAACGTGTACGTACAGTGAGTTTGTGAAGTTCAGAGTATGAAAGCGCAAATATTGTAAATATTTTTTGTAAATTAAAATATTACATTTAAGATATTTAATAAATTTACTTAATTGTAATAATTATCTGTAATGTATAATTTTTAATCTTTATTTTCTTCTATTTATTCAATATTTATTATATAACTTTACTTTTTAATAGATTTAAAGATTTGTTTTGTTGTATTGGAGTTGGAACTCTAATTAGAATTTTTATTTAAAAAAAATCGATAACTACTGCCTTAAAATTGCTTTATAATATATTAAAAATTAAAAATAATCATAATAATAAAAATTAAGTTTTCATTCTCATGCACTCCAGCCTTTTTATTGACCATTTTCATTTAAATATTAAATGAAGCATATTAAACTAGCCTACATATGTATATTTGATATTATATATAAGAATATAGAAAAAGCTACACTGGATTTAAATTTCTCTACAGCTACAATATTCTAACTGAAATTCATCATGTAACAATTATTTGAATCTAATCAACAAATAGATTATAAATTTTAGAGTAAAATCATAAAAATACCGCTAACAAAGGTGTTTTAAAATAATAAACTCTGTTAATAAATTACGGACAGCAGTTCAGATCGATCGTTGCACCGATGAGATTTGTATATGCGAATATTCTTTTCTAAGATGCTTACCACCTACTAAGGAAAATATTGTAAGAATACCTGCATGTCTGAGAGAGCCGAGCCATTTTTGAAAAGACAAGTGAATTTCGCTAACCCATATCTAGCCAGCGTGATAGACTATTGTTTCCTCATCCTCACAATGAGAAAAGGCCTGAGCAAATGGATGTTAAAAGAGCTGAATTATTATATAATATTACTAGCGACTCACCCTCGCTCCGCTCGGGTTCGTCCCTGTGGTGGGGTCTGGGAGGACCACCCTTATCCTTATCACTTAGGGGTATGGAAAATAGATAGTAGCCGATTCTCAGACCTACTGAATACGGATATAAAATTTGGTAAAAATCGGTAAAGCCGTTTCGGAGGAGTACGGTAACAAACATTGTGACATGGAAATTTTATATATAAGCTTTATATTTAAAACAGTTTTTTTTATTTGTATATACCTTAAATACCACCTAAGTGACACTTCGAGAACATTCCAGGTTGTACAGATACGTAGCTTTTAAGTTTATGTAAATAGCATTATCTGTATCAAAAGAAGTAAATAAATATTCGTTTATTATCAAACGTGTTATCATTTCGAAGAACTCTATTGGTCAAGCTTTAATTTTCTTATCTCATTTGATTTTGATAAGATATACATTATATGTAGTACATAGAATTCTATGTACACAATTCTTCAATCACCATAATTTAAAATTGTTTTGGCTAACGTGATAGAAAGCCCGTGGAGCATATGGATTATATTTCATACTAGCGATTCACCCTCGCTCCGCTTACGTTTTAACGTTTAATATAGATTTCTCAAAGATTAGATATTTCTCACAGTAAAAATTATCCTATATGCTGACCCAAATAACCAGCTATCATCATACCAAATTTCATCAAAATCTATCCAGTGGTTTTCTAGTGCGCGTTCCCAGCGTGTTTTAGCATCTTTCGAAATGCATCTCATGAGGGGGTAAAATAGGGGATGTTATTTTGTATGAAACCTACCTTTTTAGAGATTTTTTTGTAGTTTTAGCTCCTGCGAAGCCACGGGTTCTCCTAGTTATAAATAAGAAAGTAAACACATCAAACAAAAAAACAATTTTCATTTTTAAGGTTTTCATACGTATCTACGTATTCTAAGTATTATACACATATATGTTGACAACTATCTTAGGATGTATAAAGCATGCTTCAGGCGTACCTTTTTTTAATACTTATTTTTGGTGTAAAGACGTTACACACTCTCCAATATTCGACAATATTTAGTGGATTGGTATGAAATACCAATGATGTAATAAATAAATGTAGGTATTTTATGCTAATCATATAAGCCACTACAAAATTTAGAAATCAAACTAATCTATACTAATATTATAAAGAGATAGAGTTTGTGAGTGTGGGAGATTTTGAGTTTGTGACGTTGTGGGGGGTAATCTCTGGATCTACAGAACCGATTTGGATGAAATTTGGTAAGAAGATAGTTTGAGACCCTGGGAAAGGACATAGGATACTTTTTATCCCGGAAATCATCTCTTAAGGAGGTGAAAATGAGGATAAAAATTTGTATTGGGAAGCAAGCTAGTTAAAAATAAAAAAATGACAATGGAATGTACAAGTGCCAAAGAAAAACACAGGAGCGTGTATATGGGTCTTTGAATGTTCCTTTGTCGAGTTGTTTTCATGTTTTTAGTTCGGTTTTTACGTAGTCGGTTTTTTTTATTGTATAGTGTTTTAAAACTGTTTTATTTTAGATCATTATTATTTGGCTTCATGTTTAGTTCTATGTCTGTCTATATTGTTTCTTAGTTTGAGATATTATATATATATATAGTATATAGTACGTATAAGTGACTAAATAAAAAAACAACAAGAGATATGTTGTGATTTTTTCGAATGATTGGGTTTTTCCCAACTTGATAAATTTTTAAATCCGACAAATATTATTATTTACAAAACTCATCTAAGATCTATATCTGGATCAGATGTATGTATGTACTAATTAACCCCTTTACCTATTTGTACACACTGGTACAAATACGTAAAGGGCTGATACTGGAAGTCGTTTTTTTTTTAAGTTTTTATCTTTCCATTTTAGTGAAGCCACTGAACAAAATAATTGAATTGAACTATATTAAACCATTTTACGTGACATTGGCAAAGTAATCTGTGCTGAACTGTCACGTTTTGGAGCCATTAACAAGATAATTAAATTGAATTGATAACGTACTAAGAAGAACGTAGAAGACGTAATAAGTATGTAATTTGTAAGAAGAATTTTTTTAATAACATATTCGATTACGCAATTTATATAAAAAATATATTTATTGTTGATTTGTTATATACCGCTCGACCGATTTCGATAAAATTTAAATTGGTAGCCTCCTGGAAAGTATACCCTTCGAAATAAAAAAATAATCAAAATCGGTTCAATCGTCTTCGAGTAATCGGTGAACATACATAAAAAAAAGATTACGATAAATTCTCTTCCTTTTTTGGAAGTCAGTTAATGACTGGCAATTAATAGTTTTATTTAATGTTAAATTAGATGTTGAAACGGCAAATAAGAAAAATCTCAAGATGAAATACTACAAGTGAAGTTACAAGGCGTCTAACGGCTAAACTAGGTCTAAGGACCCTGTGCTGGTAATCGCATTTTGGGGATTCTGCGCGATGATGGATAAACAACAGCATTCGCAAAGATGGTTGATTGATGTCAATCAGGCGGCCGGTCGTAAAACTTTTGCCAAAACCGATCAGTACTACGAAAGATGTACTGCTCCGACCCCAAGTGATTGGGAAATGGGCAGGGAGATGATGATGTTTCTAAATAATGTATGAGTGGAAATTTCTTGTATAACAGCAAACAATATACACAATTGTATAAACTTTAAATTGCAAAGTAATTTTGTTCAAATCAAAATTCTATAGGCAGGTTTGGATGGGGACTAAATTCATGTAAGTCGTCATCGACATGGTCACGTGACGTGTTAACGCTAACACTCAGAGTGCCGATAGGTAGATGTCAAAACCAGATAAATGTAAACAGTTTTAATTTACACATTTTAATAGTTTAAGATCAAACAATTAATTTGAATATCCAAAAATAACAATTGTCCGTTTATAGTTTTAAGTTTTCACTTCCTTTGGCAGTCTAAATCATGACTGCTTTTTTGTCAGCATGACTGCTTTTTTGTTTATACAATACTAAATTATTATTTTTAATAGAATAAAATCAAAAATATCCACTTCTAAATATCCACTTTCTGAAGAAGACTTTTACTATCCTTATCTTATTTCTTTTCTTATTAAATTTGTTTGGAAATCTACAATAACAACACATATTCTTTGAAACAATTGATCAACATGCTGATTCTACGAAAATAACAGATTATCTGTCAGTAGTCTTTCAAAATTGTGACTGATGGACAGACGGACTGTGTACATTTAGTCATAGTATTTCTGGTCGGGTGTTTAATTCAACCCATAATTACGTAATCTTTTAAATCTAGTAAAAATATGTGAAGACGATGATACTAATGCTGCGATTAGTACTAACTTTTTTAATTCTGGGGCTTAGACAAGATGACATGCTGCAAAAGTTTACGAATAAATCTTAAAAATATATACAGGAATGCCATTATATTATAATTAATTGACTCGGGACTCACCATCGCGCTGCTCCCTAGTAATATTTTGAGCTTTCGTATAGATTCTCAGAGATGACATATTTTACCGCAGTAAAAGTTATCCTATAATATGTTGACCCGGATAACCAGTTATCATCATACCAAATTTCATCATAATCCCTCCAGTGGTTTTCTCGTGATGCGTTCCCAGACAGACCGAAAAACAGACAAAAGTTCTAAAAACTATAGATTGGTCCTCTATATCGATAATAATGACTATTTCAATAAGACTTTCCAAAAAATATTTAATGTACAGATCCGGCTCTGTTAGAATTTTATTGTATGTACATATAACGCTTTAATTTCAATACAATTTTGAAACATTCTATTCGTCAGCCATCGTAGAATGGCATCTTATCTAAACCTACCTACCTACCTACTTAGGCGAAGATCTATCAATCAATGTTAATTAGTATGAAAAATTTACGACTTAATCACTTCAATTCGTATAAAAACTTAATAATTTAATATTTCCTTAGAATTCATAAATAAGGTCTGATCCACACTATAGTGCCGCTTGTTCTCGGTCCGATATCTGTCTGGTAAAGTATTTTTATACAATAAACAATGAATGCATTCACACCATCAGTAAGAGTCAAATTCCAGTCGCATAACACTCCAGCAACGCTTCTTGTATAAAATACTTTACCAGAACTCACTAGAATAATTCATTCGAACTCGCTCACTATGTAAGATATATTTGCTTTTGCATAACATTCATAATGCATATCTTATATATAAAATTTCCATGTCACAATGTTAGTTACCGTACTCCTCCGAAACGGCTTTACCGATTTTTACCAAATTTTATATGCATATTCAGTAGGTCTGAGAATCGGCTACTATCTATTTTGCATACCCCTAAGTGATAAGGATAAGGGTGGTCCTCCCAGACCCCACCCCAGGGACGAACCCGAGCGGAGCGAGGGTGAGTCGCTAGTAATACTATAAAGATAACACTATCATAACACTGTTAAATCGTTTACAATTAATATACGAGTACAATTTGTGCCTGCGACTTAACATAATTGAATATTCTAGCCGTAATACATGCTAATCAAAGTTTACGTGAAACTTAAATTATTATCATCGATCATTTTTATGTTGAAAAATATATTTTACACATACCAATGGAACGCCGCCTTACAGTGTGTTTCTTGGTTTTCACTTACAGTGTGTTTCTTGGTTTTCACATCCAGCTGGATTGCCAGACGTTTATGAGCTCCCCTCCACCATAACAAGACGAACGCACATCGGGGGGGGGGCAAATTATAATTGACCATATAACAACTTTCTATAAATACAATATTGAAGCGTTATTTAAAACATCAAATGAAAGTTCAAAAATATTTTTATCGTTTTATTAATAATTAAATCAAAATCGTATACTGAAATTATTATAATCCAATCTCGCCAGATACTGCCAGTTTGTGAGATCGCATTTCTCAATTTTGCAGCCGGGAGAGCCTTTAGTACTAAGCCAGTCGATCCTGTAACAAAATTTATGCAATGAACGGTAGTTCTTAAATCCAACATAGTTGAAATTTTCTTTACTAGCGATTGAAGTTTGACATATTCCTATCGCTAGAAAGAAAAACCAAAGATAAATAGCTTAATGGGATCCGCTGTGATATATGTAAGATGATTGGTCTTTTCTAAATAAGAAGGTTATGCCCGATTTCACCAACGTCACCTGAGTTTAAGGGATCCCCTAAGCATGGTTAGGGAGCTGTTAGGGGACAGTTTCTGTTTCACCGACAGTTAGGGGTCACCTAAATATTAAAAGGCCCCCTAAATTTAGGTGCTCGAAATATAGGCTTAAAGACGATCGTAAAACGAAATTGAATATAGGGGCTAGTTTAGGGGAACGTTTAAGCTAGGAATCCCATACGTAGGTGGTAGCTTATGGGATGTTGGTGAAATCGGACATTAGACTGTCACTGTGTAACCTTCGACGGATAGATTCTATGTTATAGCGCTTAAAGTTTTTTACATTTCTTTTATGACAGGAAAAAAGGTTCGGTTGATTTACAAACATAAATAGTATATCGTAGTCGTCTATATAAAAAAACGTTTGTGTGTACTTTTGTACGCACGTAAGTAGTTATACTTCTTTGGCGTAACAGAACAAAAATAGCTAAAGATTTCATCCCGTATGTCACAACTCTCTGTTTATGAAAGGAATGCAGCTAACTTCATCATGTCGCTTTTTGGCTGTCGGTGCGCGCGCGTATCGTAAAAATTTGACTTTCATCATTTTTTTCCAAACGTGCCAAAAGAAGTATAACTTCAAAAATTATCCTACTAGTAATATTATAAAGGTGAAAGTTGGTTAGGATGGATGTATGGACGCATTTGTTACTCTTTCACACCAAAAGGCCGAACTGATCTGTATTTTTGGCATAGAGATAGATTATAGTCTGGAATAGCACATAGGTTACTTTTTATCCCGGAAAAATATACAGTTTCCGTGGGATAGATGTCTAGGGACAGACCCGAAGCGAAGCGAGAATGAGTCGTTAGTTTTTTCTATAAACAAAGATCAGGTCTAATTACTATATGTTGTAAATTAAAAGTCACCAGTTTCTCAACTTCAAGCTACTCCTGAGAAATTCTAGGCAGAAAACTTACATATGATCTTGGCAAAACTATTTCACTATACTATACTAACTAACTGTACTAACTGGGTTCTATGTTTTTAGGGTCGTCATGTGCAGTCGTAAGTGTCGCAATGTGTATTAACTCTTTTAAGCAAAAATGTCGAGTTATAAAGAATATTATATGATATTATTTTAAGAAATTACTTTATTTTTTAGTTACATGGAATCATATCAGATGTCATGTTGTAAGGAATGGGCTAACTTTCTACGTAAAGCAAAATCTTATCTTTCTCATAAAATTAAATGAGCACTTCTTGTACATCTATCTATACATATAATAAAATTGTAACTAAGTCGAATCTGTAAATTAAATATTTTTTTTGGAAAACCGTATTGAAATAGACATTATAATCGATACAGAGTCCGAACTGGAGGGGTTTTGATGAAATTTGGTATGGTGATATCTGGTTATCCGGGTCAACATATAGGATACTTTTTACTGCGCGAAAATATCTCATTTCTGAGAAAAAAAAACAAAACCTGGTTAGACTAAAATCACGATGATACTATAAACATTTTAGCAAGGTAACTTACTAAATGAGGCATAGAACTATTAAAAATAGCTTATCTTGAAAAAGTATATCAATAGCACTATTTTATTCATTAAAATAAGTCCAAATATAAAAATGATTTATATGTAATTTAGATATTCGTCAATAGATGTCGCCATGTATTTTTAAAATACGTAGTTTTAATCCCAAAAAATTGAATGTACAGATATGAACTTTCTATGGTTTAATTAGTATTACTACTAAATTACCCGCGGCCCCGCCCGTGTTCTAACTATCAATAAAACAAACTTTTTGGCTTTATAAATTCATAACATATTAGAAGTATTTTGTTAGCCGAAACAATTTTTAAACGACAATATTTGTAAATGTTTATTGTTTAGTACATAAAGTCAATGTTTGTAAATCTTAATGTAAAAATTTGGCAAATGCAAGTGCAACTCGCGCATTATAGGTTCCAACTTCCGTATACTAGCAAAATACTGTATTGTTTTTATTACTTAGGTACAAACAAATAAATACTTTTTCAGTTCAACTTTTTCAGTTTTTTAACACCATTTCTTGAAAGGTGGAGAAGGGAAGGCTTATGGACACCATACAGTGCTTACGACTTTAATCATATTAGCCGAGCCATATGAAATAATAAAAAGAATTTACTTAAAATTATTTATTTATTTATCTCAATTATATATGTACGAGTACTTCTGAACTCACACTTTCCCCAACACTTAATTTTGAAAATCGTTTTATATTATAATATTACTAACTAGCGCTAACCCATCCCTGTTCGCGACAAATTAACATCAAGAAAAATTATTATTATGTAATTTAATAATCTGCTAAATAAAAATTAATCAATAGCTGTCTAGTAAATAAATGAATAAAATTAATTCAGAAGTTTGAGAGTATATCGCCCAAAACTGAACAAACAAACATAACAGAATTATAGACATACTATAAATGTTATTTTTAAAACAGAAATGTAATATTACTAAATCAAATATGAGAATAACGAAGGAACCTTTGTGGCGTTGTCAGTCACCGCTATTATTTACCAACTGTACGGTGCGCAACGAAATTGGTATATGTAAGAGTATACTAATATGTAAAACCTAAGAATTTGGTTTTTGGTCATTTGAACGCGCGCGGAGCCGCGGGCAATGCTAGTCTATAAATCTTTTTCTTGTATCTCGGAAACGGCTTTAACGAAATAGATCAGATTTTGTATTTAGATAAGGTTTGGTTTTTTAAGTTTATGTACTTACATAAACTTTTCTGAAAAAAGTCATTTTATATCTTATCATACTCGGAAAAAACCTCGCCCAGGTACTTAGTAATACGCAAACCGAATTAATGATAATTATTATAGGTAGATATGATAATACAAATAGGTACCTATTACATATTATTACTTAAATACTTACAGTGAAACCTTTCTTGAAGAAATCTTTAGAAATACTATCAAAGCAAAAGTATTATTGTTAGTTTGTCCGTCTTTTACACGGCAATAGAGCGCTGTGTTAACGCGTTATTTCCGCAGATTTGTAGAGATACCTATTTCTAATTTTACAGATTAATAAGGAGTCATAGTATACAATTGTATTTTCTTGGTCATTCATTCGTCATTCATTCTTTCCACTTGCCCAATCCATCTGAACATAAAAAAGTAAGGTAAGAGTAATTTCATCCAAGTTCTACGCGAGCGGAGTTTGTTTTCATTCGTATTATGAAAAATATACTATAAATAACTTTTATAATGTAAAGGCATAAAGATAAAAGTGTGTATTTGTAAAATATTATGTAAGCTTTTATATCGCTGTTGACGGAACTGAAGCGCTCGTTAGCGGTGAACTTGGATGTAATCCAAATAGAAGCAGGTGATAATGTGACGATATTAATAGGCTCAAAGATTGTTTACGATAACTGCCCTTTCTAATAACTATCCTTTGAATGGTATGAAATATACTTACATGTATCTGTATTTTGTCTAGTCTTATACGTCTTATACTTTTGACGACATGTTTGGCTCAGTTTGTAGTGACCCTACTTGCTGTGCCAGCGGTCGTGTGTTCGAGTCCCGCTGGAGGCATTCATTTGTGTGATGAGCACGAATGTTTGTACTCCAGTCATGGGTGTTTATATGTATAATATGTATGTATTTAAAGTTATACCTCAGAAAACATTTCTTTTTAGGTAAGATAATAAATCTATCCGTAACGGACTTCTACAAAATGTTAAAGAAAATTTAAACTTAGAAAGAATTCTTCTTCCTCGTTCCCTCACGGATGAGGATCACAACTACTTATGATTTACTGTACTTATGATTTTGTGGAGAATTGTGCCCATTGACTTCTTACTTCTCGACCACCTCATAAGTGCCCTTCCCCATACGCGTTCACCGTCAATTTAGCCCAAGACAATCAGTTCCTGTAAACTATACTTGGGTGGCCGCGTAATATATCAAAAGTATCTTAGGATCTTTTTTTGACAGAAAGTGGTGAGCCGCTCCGTGATCTTAAGTTCGGCAAGAATGGAATTATTGGTTCTTTTAGCGGTCCAAGGCCTAAAAAGGTATAAGACTTCCAAATTGAACTAACACTCACATGTGATCCAAGTTCGCCTTGGTCCCTTGTATTTTGCCGACGATGGTGCCTTTCTTAGTATTTTTCACCCACCCACAGATGCCAAGCTGCTCCGCCAACTCCTTGCAATACTTCGTAAAGAAACAACCTGAAAATATACGAATTTAATTTTAATATAGACATTAGGTAAACAAATTATAAGAGAAGTGTTAAAAATATTTATAACTTGTCCATGAAAATTCTTATGATATCAACAAATAAATAATGTAAAGAACTAATTATGAGTATAATTTTGCAGCTTTATTCAGGATTACATGTACACGATAATACATAAAACATTTATTGACGATGATTAGATTTATCTTGTAGCTATTTTTGGAACGAAATACGGCAGTTTACAGTTGTACACATAATGTATGTATATTATACAAATATAATATACTAGCATTGCCCGCGGCTCCGTCCGCGTTCAGATGACCAAAAACCAAATTCTTAGGTTTTACATATTAATATACTCTTACATTGCAGTTTTTGTATTTTTTCTCAGAAATGAGATATTTTCCCGCGGTAAAAAGTAGATATCCTTTATGTTGACCCGGATAACCAGCTATCACCATACCAAATTCCATCAAAATTCCTCCAGTAGTTTTTCTGTGATGTAGTAACAGACAGACAGAAAAAAATTCTAAAAACTATAGATTCGGCCTCTGTATCGATAATGTTTATTTCAATAAGATTTTCCAAAAAATATTTAATGTACAAATTCGGCTTAGTTACAATTTTATTATATGTACAGATAAACTTTTTTGTCTCTTGATACTGATAGGTACTTTGACACTAGTAAATAGCGAATTTTTCAAAGTTGCTTCTGTAACTTGTCTAAGGTCTGAGGAGAAATGCTCTCCGCCAATTAAAACATACTTTATTCAAATAGACATTTACAAGCACTTTTTCTCTTCAATTTTACATTTTAAATTTAAATTAATTTCAGTATAGGTATAAAAGCGTGAAGAATCTACCATCGGCCAAGCCTAAATACTCCTGAATCTGAATATTTATTGTATTACAAGTGGAAACGAACTGTTGTGTGCTTTACCGTTCATCACGAATGCCTAGGCGGATTTTTAAATTTGCTATATAGTTAAATCAAATTATCTTGAAGTTGTCTTCAACTGCTAGCCCACTAGTAACTAGGTAGCGCGTACGCTTAGAACTCCAAGTACAGAGAGTTCAAACCCGGGGTATCAAACAAAATCAATAAATTTCGACATGATTACCACTCATTTTGCGAGTGAAAGAAAACTTTATTTTCGAAAGATATGTTGCATGTGCAATTTGCCAGGCTGGTGGACTATGGCCACCCACCCTCACATTTAAAAAGGACTGAATGACTGAGTTTGGGTTGAACTAAGTTTTTTATATAATTCATTTGCTTACCTTCGGAAAATTAACAAGAGATATTACAGGCAAAGGACGAACGATTTATTTATTATTTGCATGAGAATTTAGATTTTTCAGGAAGTCACAAGACATACAATCAGATGAAACCGACCAGTATGTGAAGTTATTTAAAGAATGAAAATTACATTTTAATTTTATTAATTTGACCCTACTATTGGCCGTGAGACTCGATTGAAATGCCAAAAATTTGTTTTCAAGAGCTATTTGTGTCGTGTGAATGACACTCACGACGAAGGTGGTGCTATTACGAATATAGATCAGCATCCAATCCATTGACTCCGACCTATAATACATCGCTTTTTAATGATTAGTTATACAAAGATTTTGGTAGACTTTTGAGGTTTTATATAAGTACAATAAGAATAGATTAACTTTGACTACATCGGTTTTTCTGTGTACTATTAAAGAGCCTAATTAGAAGGATTAATTTTAAACTAGATGGTTTTTATTTGTAAAGAACTTTTGTATTTTTGAAAGTTAAGCTTATTCCCAAATTGGTGCAAAAGTGGCTTAGGCATTATATTTGAAAATCTCTTATATTTTACTTATAAATTAACTGAAATGCACATAATACTGTCTTAAATGTAGGTAAATATTTGACATTTTAAATAAAACATCAAAATATAGTCTCTCATGTGAAAGTATTACTGTAAAACAATCGAATGTTCAGGAAACAAAATCCAAAATAAATCCGTAAAAAAAACCGAAAAGATAGTTTTATTTAAAACGTCGAATGTATATGTTTATAAAGCCAATTGTCATTCAAGAACCTGCAGGACAGTCTCCAGACTATAACAAAAAAGACCCATACGATTAAAATCAAGAAAATACTCTAATACAAAAACAATACTTATATAATTAACTAGCGACTCACCCTCGCTCCGCTCGGGTTCGTCCCTACTTACGTTTTAAGGTTTATTATAGACTTCTCAGAGATGAGATATTTTCCCGCAGTAAAAAGTATCCTATATGTTGACCCGGATAACCAGCTACCATCATACCAAATTTCATCTAAATCCCTTCAGTGGTTTTTCCGTGATGCGGTAACAGACAGACAGACAAAAATTTAAAAAAGTATATATTCGGCTTCTGTATCGAGAATAATGTCTATTTGAATAAGATTTTCCAAATAATATTTAATGTACAGATTCGGCATAGTTAGAATTTTATTATATGTACAGATTTACGACCGATAACTACTTTAAAGTACATTAAAAGATTTAGAGTGGATAAGTATATATTTATTACATCTAATCACTGTAATCCACTACTAATGCTCACTGATTATATGTTAAATCTCCTTAATCATTTGTATTCCTATATGTTATTACGGAAAGCGCTTCATATCTATAGTATCTCGTCATATGATGTTTTTTCGAACGATTTCTATCTCAACGATCTCATTGAGACTTGCCATCTGCGCAGGAAATGTTATAGTGTACAAGTATGCGCAAATATCACGCGTCCAAGACAATTCCACTCGACTCGACCGGTAAGAGATACCAACCAACCAGCTGCTTTACCTGCTTCTAACTACCACCAACTTCCTAAATCCGAGCTGTTACTGAAAGTTTTTGATAGAAAATTTGAATTACTAAACTTGGTCGGACTCAGGACTTGAGTCCAACATTCGGATCTGTAGCTGTAAATACTACCCTCTAGACCACCATCAAAGCAGTTACAGTTCATATACGAGTACAGCCATTACAAACAACTCTATGAGAGGTTACAATACTTTTTTATATGTATATGCAAATACAATTAGGTACATATGTACATAAAATATACCTGTAATCGCTATTTAGCACAGGTGAAAGGTGAAATTTTAACACAGGTGAGCCGATCACTGTCTGAATTTTTAAAATTTTATTAAGTATTTAGTTAAGGAGTTATAATCGGAAAAAATGAATATGAAAAACAACATCTTATTCAGTTTGTAACTGCTTCTCATCCACGTTAGTATATTTTTATCAAAAGTTTTGTAAGCATGTTTAACTCATCCACGTTGGTATATTTTTATCAAAAGTTTTGTAAGCAAGCAAGTTTTGTTTAAAGGACACCATCTCGTGTAATATAATCAATAGACATTCGAAACTTAATTGAAAACGTTAAAACATGAAGTAAGAAGCAAGTGCATATCTTCATAAATAAATTTTGTTTCATAATGTAGAAACGGTATAATTACCTATTTAAATTTTTCATATGTCGTACAAACCAAGACCTAAGTATAGATATAAGTATAGACGTGAGTATAACTTCTAAGTCATTAATTTAAATAAAATAAATCTATACAGATAAATGAAATTGCAGTGTCCGTTTGTTATTTCAAAATTATAGCTTTTTTAATAAATGCATATGAAAATAATACGGTACTAATAAGAAAAAGACATTTTTTTAAAAATCTGTCTGTCTGTTTGTTCCGGCTACTCTCCGAAATGACTTGGCCAATTTTGAAGGTACATTCACTGGCAGATAGCTAACATTATAAGCAGTAACTTAGGCTACGTTTATTTAAGAAAAAGAATCGGGGCTTAGCGCAAAAAAATTAAAACCCATGAAACTGTGAACAAAATCGTACCTAGGGACGCACCCAGGCAAAGGGAGCATAAGGGTTATATCATCTGTGCTAGTATATACGAGTATAGTTGAACAAAATAACCGTGCGATGAAAAATGTCTAAGTTAAAATCATATTAGTATTTAAAAACTACCTTGAACTTGCCCATACACTTCGAACTCCACAGCCACTAACATATTAGGATCTTCGGCTCCCATTGCAATAACAAAATACCAAAAAATTAATTTAAAAAAAACAAAAAGAACACAGAATGTATCCGTTCGTAACTGTGTTGATACTGCCGCCCGCCCAAATGCAACGCCCTAGATATTTTAGTTAGTACATAAATATAACGATATGTACGTAATGGATGAACATAAACAACGATCAAGTGTGTTGCGAAATCAATATATCTTGTATAATATATTGATAGTACATTTGAGATTGATGTAATTTGAATAGCTTTATGTATTCTGAAAATATATCGAATCGCTGCTCTGTGGGCTTCTTAAACCCATACGGTACGAATAACGAAATTATTTAAAATAATGAAATTGCTGGTCTTAATTTTTTGAACTTTTAAAAAAGACTATATTCATTTAAAGCCGAAACAGACAGTTTGAACACCATTCCACGACGATTATAATTTATCAGCCAATATTAATTTAAAATGAGTAAGTTACAAAAGGAAAAAGATGTTAATTTCAAGGAAAATATTATTATAAAAAATGCATCGTTCTGTTAATTGATTCTCTTGGGGTTTCTCGTCATTTCTGTACGCTTTACCGCCACTTGAAACACGTTACCTATAATAAGCTATAAAACTATAGGTATATAGTTTGGCTCAGTTTGTAGTAACCCTGCTTGCTGTGCCAGTGTTTGCGGGTTCGAGTCCCGCTGGGGGCATTCATTTGTGTGATGAGCACGAATGTTTGTAATCCAGTCATGGGTGTTTGTAATATGTATTTGTAATATGTATGTATTTAAGATTATATATATGTAGTGTATCAACTATCTGGTATCCGTAACACAAGCCTCGTAGCTTACCATGGAACTAGATGGTGGTGTGTGTTAATGTCCCAACATATTTAAAAAACATATTTATTTATTTGTACTGAATTGAAATCACGATAAGTAATTGAACCTTATTCCAGAATGTTTTACGAAAAACTAAGTACCAACTTTTTTATATAGCTTTCGTTTTATCTCATCTCATTGATAGGTGCAATATGTATATGTGTAGGTATGTAGCATTTATTACACCATGAAAAATGTTCCAAACAAGTTGGGAGGCATTTCTAAGAAAATGTTGCAAATGGTCACCAAATTTGAAGCCCTAAGAATTGACTTTATTTTTGATGGTGTATAATAAATGCTACGCTAGCAGTCTTATAAATCATCTAATTATTACCCAAGTATTATATATAATAAATAAAAATAAAAAAAAATAAAATAAAAAAAATATAAAAATCAGCTTTAATACTAAAACGTAAGTAGTATTATGATTTCATGAAAAGGGTGTCTGGCAAGGGTTTGCCACGATGTTAAGTGTCTGGCCTTGAATGACGTGATTTTTAATAATATTCTGAAGGTAAAACCAAAAAATCACACTTTATTATTTGACGAATTTAGATCGGTATTTTACACACCTTTAGTACCGTGTACCTGCCAAATCCACCATAGCCTGAACTTCATAATGGTCCATCGTTCTTATCTGTGTTGGGAGCATGCGCTGACAAACTTTCAGCCTTTATAAAATGACGAAGGTCTGGCGTTCACAAGTTCTTAGGCCATATGTTCTTCTGCAAGATCCCAACCATCTCTATACCAATATACGTCAAAATTGGTTCCGCAGTTTAGACGTAACAGACAGACAGAGTTACAGATAGCTCAGCAACGATACCACGAGTGAGGTCCCTAACACGCGGTACCTAGGAAGTTTATCAATTAATTATATTCGTTATCTACATCTTTTTCGAAACAGTAGGTAATCAATAAACTGTCAAGATTGCAAAATCCTGTTGCGAGAATATTTGTGCAAGTGTTATGAGAAGCAGATTATTGGGAAAAACCTTTATCAGGTCACAAGGTCTTCGGCTTATAGGAAATAGATTATAATAGAACAATTAGATTTTATCTGAATATAATGATATATCAAGGTAAAATTTAAAAAAAAGATACAGATTTTTAAGTGTGAGCGGAGGGGAAGTCCCGAATCGTAGTTGAATCATACAAAATAATAATCCAAATTCCGCATACAGACGGCTTAGCCAACTTACAATCAACGTTTACTATCTTATCTCTTATTAAATAAAACTATCTTTTCGGATTATTTCGCGGATTTATTTTGATTTTTGGTTCCCGACGTTTCGAATGCTTTACAGCATCCATGGTCACGGGAGAGACTGAGGTGTTACATGTCTTAAAGATATAGTTGTTACAGACAGCCTACCCACAATTAACAAAATGAAAATTGCACCAATTACATTACAATATTTTTAACTTTAAAGATTTTTTATAATTTTAATTATAATTGAATATGGAAAATTATTTATTTAATTTTTGCTATTATTTTTATAATTATTACAATTTTAAAAATATTAATTAGTAATCTATATTTAGTGTTGCCATTATTATATTTATAACCATAAATAAAAATATAAAAATATAGTATTAATTATTAAAGCCATATAATTGTTCTATGTGTAATTTAAAAAGTTAAAATTAATTACGGATAATCATTTTAATTTAGTTTGCTATTATTTAAAAACAACTTACTAAGCAACACTATTAAAATATACTTTTACAAATGAAAAATATTAATCTGATAAGCTGTCATTTTGATCTACACAGTATGAACTTACTACATCTGCCTGTCTGTTATGTTTATATTTATTATTTGATTTTATTATATTAATAACAGGATCCCATGACGATGGTAGTACCCAGCCATCTTCCCTATTGAAATTTGGATGTTTTTTAATTTCTATGGCTTCTCGAATCATTCTAGGGTGATATCGGTTTTCTTTCGCCAGGATTTGAGGTCTATCGAAACGAATATAATGGCTTGGGCGGTCCTGGCTATGTTTGCAGACAGCAGATGTTGTATTGCGACGGTGCTTCACATCAGCTATGTGTTCTTTGACCCGGGTTCTAATCTAAATCTTATCTCTTTCTATCATTGGTAGCGTGTTATCGATAGCTATTTTAGAAATCGATTTCTTGCGTGCTGATCATCTCAATATAACTGTGTCAATCGTCGTTTTTATTATGAAGTTTCTAGGCATTTTGTTTTCGGCTTAATTGTATTTGTTGTACTTCCATATCAATTGTATTTAGGTCATGCAATAAGAATTTAAGTTTTTTTTCTCGACTGGTAGAAACTTTCTGTAATGGAGGGAAGCGAAATCCTCTTTAAGGGAAAATGTACAAATTTCATTTCATGGACATAATCTGGCTCTCCATACTGTATGTGTAACTGACGACACATTTGGCTAAGTTTGTAGTGACCCTACTTGCTGTGCCAGCGGTCGCGGGTTCGAATCCCGCTGGTGGCATTCATTTAGCAGAAATGTTTGTACTCCAGTCATAGATGTTTATATTTACAATATGTATATATTTAAAGTTTAGTCATGTTTAGTATATCAACTATCTGGTATCCATAACAAAGGCCTCATAGATTACCATGGAACAAGATGGTGCTGTGTTAATATTCCAACATATTTATTTATTTATATTATTTACATCCTATAATTTTGTTAAGAAATTAAAGAATTTTTTAGCGTTTTTGACAAATCAAGGTAAAATAAGGGATGATTTCAAGTTTCTTTTAGGTATTTACCTACTTTTCTCTACGTATGTATATACTTACATATATGTATGTATATCTATAGAGTCTTTTCTATACTACGAGTAACCGTCAAAACATACCTAGGGACGTTCTGAAGCCTTATTAGGACCCGAGCGAAGCAAAGATAAGTCAGTAGTAAGTATTCTTCATATTTTACAAAAATCGAAGCATTCATATTTCTCTATTCTCTTTTAATATCTAATAACATCACTATTACGTACATAAGCCGTCGAAAGAAATTCTTCGATTACTATTGTATTTGTGCTTTATTAAGCACATACATTTTCTTGTAAAGGTTAGATGAACTGTGCAGATCCAAATATCTGTACTAATATTATAAAGAGGTAAAGTTTGTGAGTTCGTGACTTTGTAACGTTGTAGGGGGTAATCTCTGGATGTACAGAATTGATTTAGATTTTTGGTAAAAAGATAGTTTGATACCCTGTGAAGGACATAGGATATTTTTTATCCCAGAAATCACCTCTTAAAGGGGTGAAAATGGGGATATAAGTTTGTATGGGGAATCAAGCTAGGGACGAACACGAGCGAAGCGACGCTGAGTCGCTAGTAAATATATATAAACATATAACACAAACATATAAACATATAGAAATAACAACTGCATAATCCATAAGATATTAGTGACATAGTGACACAACTGTGGTGGTCTTTCTTAGATAAGTATCCAAAGACATAAATAAAGGCCCCAGACAAAAATTCTAAAAACTATAGATTCGACCTCTGTATCGATAATAATGACTATTTCAATAAGATTTTCCAAAAAATATTTAATGTACAGATTTGACTCAGAATTTTATTACCTATATGTATAGATTTTGAAGTAATTCTTTAGGTATGTAACTACTCTAACAATAGTAAGGACTCCATATTTTATTATAATATAATTCATATATATTTTTCCAGCATATATTTATGGTTGCCATATACAAAACAAAATAAAACTTAGTTACAAATTAAAAACAATCTCATTACGCTTTTGGCGCGATGCCCGCACTGCTATGAGCTGCCTCTCTCTAGTGATTCCTGTAGAGCTAAATAAATAACGGCTTTTAGAGTCACAAATAGCTAAGATCAAATTTGTTGACAATGCTTTATATATATATTTCCTCCTTAGTTTAAAATATTTTAATTACAAGCTTGCTGTAACTGCGCACGCGCGTGTATTTCTATATACTTAAGTTGGTATTTTTAATAGACTTCCAAAATAGTTCACCTGGAGCGGTGTAAAGTAAATCTATTTCGATATGTTTAAATATTTTAATTATAGTTAAAATGTTTATATTACATTTTAACTATAATTAAATTTCACAGCTTGTCATATTTACTTATTAGATACCTACTAGCAGA